ATAAATTTGTTTATTAACATATGGATGACAATGACCAACTAAAAGATGAAAGAATGATATAGATACAAATAATAATAATAATAATAAATACCATGTGCAACAAATAATCGTTATTTGCATGATAATACAGTTGTTCTTGCTGAAAAACTTTCTAAAACATTACCAAAAAGTCTTCAACAAATATTTTATACAAATTCAGGGTAAAAATAAACGCTGATTTTGTCGTTTTTATAAATGAGTTTAATGTATATTTTAGATCTGAAGCAAATGATTTAGCAATTCGTTTAGCTAGAAGATTTACAGGAAACTATGATATTCTTGCATTTGATAAGTATGTATAAAGAAGAATGATTAATGAAGCAAATGAATTTTTATGTTTAGTGCCTATCATGGTCATATATCAAGTCTTGTTGAACTATCTACATATGAGTATAAAAAGATGAAGAATCCTACGAAAATGCCAGAACATGTTCATGTTGTAAGTAATGATTGAGTAAGAAAACATGACATGTGTATCTTATATTTCATTTTAGCTTCCAACACCTGATGTTTATCGTGGAAAATATCGTGATATTGATTATAATTATGATGAAGCTAAATTATGTGAACTATATGTTGATGAAGTACGTCGAATAGTTGAAGAAGTAGAATCACGTGGACGTCGCATAGCATTATTTTTTATTGAAACATTACAATCATGTGGTGGACAAATTATTTATCCAAAAGGATATCTTAAACAAACATTTGAGTAAATATAAAGATATTTTTCTCAATTTATTTTAATTCTTCATGTAATTTATAGTTATCTTCAGTCAAAAGGTATTTTATGTGTTGCTGATGAAGTTCAAACAGGATTTGATCGAAGTGGTAGTCATTTTTGGGCATATGACTCTTATGATGAAGGTTATTATAAAAAAAAGTAGATTCTAAATTTTGCATCGTAGTTTTTTCTTAATTAGGTGTTATTCCTGATTTTGTAACACTGGGTAAATCGATGGGTAATGGATTTCCAGTTGCTGCATTAGTAACTCGTAAAGATATAACACAAAAATTTGAAAGTGATGGTATTGAATATTTTAATACATATGGTGGAAATCCAGTGAGTTGTCGAGCTGCAATTGCTCTTCTTGATGTTGTTGAAAATGAACATTTACAAGAAAATGCTCATAAAGTTGGTGTTTATTTTCTAACAAAACTAAAAGAATTACAAAAACAACATGATATTATTGGTGATGTTCGTGGTCGAGGTCTTTTTCTTGGTATTGAACTTGTACGTGATCGAAAAACACGTGAACCTGCAACTATAGAAACAAGAGAAATTCAATTACTGTATGTTTTTATTATAAAATAAGAAATATACTTGTTATAATCATGTAAATTTTTCTAAGACTTCGTGAATATTTCATAATTATTTCAACTGATGGTCCTGATCATAATGTGCTCAAATTTAAATCGTAAATATGAATAAAACATTTTTTTGAACGATCATCCATGAGAATTTATTGCTTTGTTTTAGACCAATGTGTTTTGGAATGGTGGATGCTGATTATTTCTGTGAGAAATTAGATATAATTCTCAACGCAATGAGCAAGAAGAGTTTTTGATTTTTTTCATTATTTTTAAGAATATGTTTTGTTTGTTTTTATACCATCATCATGCAATATGATAAAATAAACTGATAAAAACAACAGCGATTTTTGCAAATACTGAATATTATTCTTTGTAGTAGAAACTGATATCATAAAACTCTATTATCAAGTACTTTCGACTTTCGCATATGACGATGTAACTTGTTAATAAATATACCAAAAGTAAATACAGGTAAAACAGTATAGAACATTTTTTCACCTATATATTACTTTTATACATAATAGTATATTTAAATAAATATACTTTCGAAGAAGAAAAAGTCTCATGCACAGACACACGTGTAACCAGAGTTCTATATATAGTGAGAGATAAATTAAATGGACTATACTCCTTTACTATTCATTTTAATGGGTAATAGACAACAAAAGCAACAACACCGTAGTCATGTAAGGTATCATCAAATTGAACTTGATCATCCTGATACTATTTATTTACCGAATGGTATTGTTTCTGGTACAGTTTTAACTACAAAAAAATGCAAATCATTTATTTTATTAACTGGAATTATTCGTTTTGAAAAACATAAGCAAAAACAAATAGAAAATTGTGAAATTATATTCTTTTCATCAAAATATTCACTTATTCCATCGTGTACTACAAAACAAAACTTTCGATTTCATTTAAATGAACATCTTCCACCTTCATTTAATAATTTAAATAGTTTTCCAAATATATCTTATTCAGTTAATTTAGTTTATAAAAAATCGAAAGAAAAAATTTATTCTTCAATTCCAATCTATATTTATCCTTATATTCAAATCGATCAACCTTCACTTTTAACACCATTAGTTTTTAGTTCAATAGATAATCAATATTATAATACAGCTATTAAAATTAAAATAAATCGTTTAGTCTTTAAATTTGGTGATGTTATTCAAATCTTTTATGAACTTCAAAATCCATTAGAAGAATATATTCAAAAGATTGATATTAGTTTAGGAATTTATTATCTTGTAGAATCCAATATTTATCAAGAAGATATATCAAATAGTATTGAAAATACAAATTATATTTTATCGAAACATAAATTAATCCGACATCACACGTTATTAAATATTCCAAATAAAACTTTTTTACCATCAACATTTAAATATAAATATGATGAAAAAGATAATCGTTCATTTTTTAATTTATCAATTGATTATAAAATTCAATTTAAAATGTATCTTGGCAATCCAGAAGATTTATGGCAAATAGATGTTCCTATTATTGTATGTAATGATTTATTAAGGCAAACTGAAATTAGAACAAGTGATAGTTTAGAAAAACTTTGAATTAAATATTATATTGTTTGAATAAATAATAAAATCAACAAACTAATGTTTTATCATGGATAGGACTGAGAAATCTGACCAGTTATTTTTTACTCTAGATGGGTGTGGGTGTGAGTGTGCGTATGTTTTGATTAATATATTCGCACCGATATCCACCCCGCACACACCCACACCCAAATTGTGGGAGAAATAAAAAGATAATTTAATATGTACTTTTTCTTAAAACTTCATCTTATTCAATGTGATGAAATGAAGAGAGATTCATGATTATAAAGATAATTTATTAGTTAAGAAATAAAAATGAGATATTAGTATGAAGTAGAATAATATATCATTAGTAAGGAAGGATAAAAATAAAAAGTGTTTGTACTGTTAAATTAAAATTTGTTTTCAGATGATAGGCATATCTGTTGTTGTCTTCTTTCGAAATACAACTCACCAATATTGTGAACGTTCTTGGCTCATGTCTTCATAAATTTGAGTACCAGGTAATCCAGCAAACCGACGAAAATGTTCTTGTTCTTCAGGTTGAATATAACGTTGAATGAAATCAGTACGAGATTTATTTTGAATGTCAAGTGCATGAAGAACATTCCTTGTAATATTAATCTTTTCTTCAATAATTAATTCATTATTTGCTATTAGATCATAAACTGATGTACCTGATCCATTCATGTAACAAAAATCACACCATAGAAGATATCCATTTGGACGAAGTACACGAGTGACTTCACTAGCAAACTGTGTGATTGCTATTGGTTCTCCAAAAGTATGTGTTGCTTCAATACAAAGAATAATATCAATTGACTCATTTTCAAATGATAAATGTTTTGTTGCGTCAGCTACTACGAAGAAAAGTCGAGGAGTTGTCGAATAAAGTCGTTGACATAAATTAATGACATCTTGGGAAGGATCTGTTCCAATATAAGAGTGAGATGCATGAGTATGAACACACCATGCAGCACCAGCACCTCTACCACAATTGATTTCAAGCACATTCTGATCTGTTAATGTCACATTTGCAAAAATCTAGAAAATAAAACAAAATATCTCAATCATGGCTTGTACATCGGAAAAGCCATAAAATTTTCGATCTTTCTTTGTATATCAACTCGACTAGATGTAAATAAGTTGACTTGAATGATTTTCTTTTCATATTTAGAGTGTGTAGCATTTAATAAAACAATCTTATATTCATATTCATACAAATTCCTCATAAACCAAGGAGAATGACTAAATCTGTTGATAGTGGATGAGAGGTAGGGCAAAAAAGAAACACTAAAACTGAGTCTTATATTCTTTTCTACATACTTGTTCATAAAGCTTTCTTGAATAATAACCAGTATGATCATCGATATATTCATCCATATCTGCATAGCCATAATT